TGGACAAATAAAAACGTATATATATATAGTTTTTTATGATATAAAATACCCTGATTCACATGAACTCCAGAAGAGTGATAATATATTTGGCAGAAGATTTGCTCCAATGACAAGTTAGCAAATGTATACCTACAAAATATCCATATGATTGATTCCGTAGGTTAAGAGAATTATTGTTTTCAGGGGGAGCAACGAAATATAAACTATAAATAATTTTATTGGTCCATCCAAATGATCATGATAAAAAATAATAAATTCTAAAGACAATCCTGAAGATTGTACCATATCCCTTCTCTACACCCTTTTGAATCAATGATTTTACTTTAGGCAATGTAGAATTTGAAAATTGTCATCTTCAGGGGAGATTACATTCACTCGAATCAATCCCGTAAATTGGGTCTTTAAAGACTAACAGTTGTACTTTTTGACATACATACCATGTACTCTTTTCCTCACTAGGTTTTTCCCATTGGGTTTTTCTAATGTGATTTTTAACGAGGCATGAGTATGATATAGTAATGTCAATTGGGGTGTTGCAAATATATAAATACTTAAATATACGAACCCCGAAATCCTGAAGATTATGCCCTGAAGGCTTACAGTTGTACTCTTTTTCCCTTAACTAAGTTTTTCCCAAAGGGTTTTCTTAAGTTAAGGTTTTTAATGAGGCAACTCGTACCATGTATGATTCTTCAAATATCATGTACTCTTTTCTTCAACTAGGTTTTTCCCACTTGGTTTTCCTAGTGAAGTTTTTAACGAGGCATGAATGTATTCAAATATACCATTCATATACCTTGTACTATTTTCTTGTCTAGGTTTTTTCCACAGGGTTTTCCTAGCAAGTTTTTAACGAGGAAAGATCATGGATAAATAATGTCCAAGAGGGAGTGTTATAAAGTATTTATTAATAATGTGGACATTATGAATAACGCTCACATTTATATCTATCATTTATTGTTTTCCGTTACAAATGTATTTTATATATATATATATATATATATATATATATATATATATATATATATATATATAAAAACCACTATAGTCGAGGACGATTTTGGGTATTAACTCATTTTGTAAATTATATTAAATGGAATAATAAATATGGTCACCTGCAGAAGTAATAACCAAGGAGAAGACTAAAGCCAACATGGATGACGCTGTTATGGGATTCATGGTTGTTTGTAGAAACTAAGAGACGAAGACGGTATTATAGTGAGAGTAGGATTTGGGAAATAATGTATTTTTATAAGGGTTTTTGTAGTCATGACTTAATTCTTCAAATCTATTAAAATAGTACTATATTAATACTCCATAGTAATCAATTAATTACCTTTTAGGGAAAATTAATATACTATCAAAAAAAAATTTGAGTAAAAGACATTTTTGGTCCTAGACTTATAGTGGCTTGGACAATTTTAGTCCTTTATAAAAAAAATTGCCATTTTATGGACAGAGTTATTGTGGCGAGGACATTTTTGGTCCTCCGTCTATATTTTTGTTAGATAACCGTCTGAGAGAGGGGTAATTACGTCAATTTAGGCTATCTCCTTCTATCTATTATATCTATGTGTGTTTTGTTTTCTTCTCGGTCATAATTCGAAGGAGTCGGAGAGTCCAAGTTGCAGTAAAGGCATGGTTGTGGGCAAAGCATTTCATAGTGCAAAACTACAAATAAATGAGGGTCAGAGTAAAGGCATGGTTGTGGGACCAAAATCGTCCATCTCACAATAAAGAGATAGCCTAAATTGACGTAATTGTCCCTCTCTCATACGGTTATCTAACAGAAATATAGACGGAGGACCAAAAATGTCCTCGCCACAATAACTCTGTCCATAAAATGGCAAATTTTTTTATAAAGGACTAAAATTGTCCAAGCCACTATAAGTCTAGGACCAAAAATGTCTTTTACTCAAAAAAATTCTATACTATGTATTCAATTGTTATAACGTGCACCACGGCGCACATAGCACTGTGCACCCCGCGCCCCCAAATTGACGTCGTTTTGTTAAGTTGTTAAAAAAAAAAATCTTCTGTTTCGAATGTACATAAACTCATAACAGAATACACATAAACTCATAACAGAATACACATAATCTAACATAATACATAATACACATAAACTCTTAACATAATACGAATAAACTATAACATATTACACATAAACTATAACATAATACACATAAACTCATAACATAATACACATAAACTCTTAACTTAATACACATAAACTCTTAACAGAATACACAAACTTTTAACATAATACACATAAACTCTTAACAGAATACACATAAACTCTTAACTGAATACACATAAACTCTTAACACAATACACGGAAACTTTTAACTAAATACACATAATGGGGTTTGGTTAATATAATACACATAAACTCTTAACTGAATACACATAAACTCATAACACACAATACACATAAACTTTTAACTGAATACACATAATGGGGTTTGGTCTATTCAGAAGGACGGAGTGACGTCAGCAAGAAACACGTGCGTTTTGCACCTGGGCGCACATTGATATATGCGCCGTGGTGCACGATATAAATTGCCATGTATTGCGTTAATTCAATTTCTGGTCCTAGATTTATAGCTGTCTTCCACTTTTAGTCATTTTTTAGAACATCCCCTTTTGATCCTAGTATTATTGTGCCATGAACATTTTTTGTCCCTTTTATAAAAAAAAAAAAAAAATCAAAATACCCTTGTATTTAACATTATCTCAACGATTTTGTTGACGAGGTACATGTTTTAATAAAAAAAAAAGTACTAAAAGTGAACTACCACCTATAAATTTATGACCAAAAATGAAATTAACTCTTATGTATTAATTAGTATATACTAATAGTGACAATTACAACTTTACTATATATTTCTATATTTCTATATTGTATAATTATATTACTGTAATACGCTTATTAATTATTAGAGTCAATTACCGAAATGGTCCCTTGACTATAGCGAAATTATCAATTTGGTCTTTGACTATTTTTTTTAACCAATTAAGTCCCTCAACTTTAAAAATTATAACAAAGTTGGTCCTCCGTTTGTTTGACCGTTAGTCAACCGTTAACTTGGGACCAAATTGATAATTTCACTATAGTCAAGGGACCATTTTGGTAATTAACTTTAGGGGGGGGGGGGGGGCGGGGGGGGGGGGACAGTTCGGTTTAGTTTTCTCGAACCGAACCGAACTAGTTTGGTTCGGTAATATACCGAACAACCGAACGGTATTGGATTCTTGTATACCGAACGGTTCAATAAAAAACCGATCTAAACCGATCCGAATTGTTCGGTAAAAAATTAAACTGAACCGAATACCGTTTGATTTTTTAAAAAAAAATATATTAATAATAATAATAATCATCATCATCATCATAATAATAATAATAAAATAAATAAAAAGTAAATCCAAGTCCCTTGCTGCTTGCTCTGCCGTTCAGCTCATATTCTCACGGGTATCTCTCTTAAATGTTTTATTTGATTTCTTTGTGGTTTGTTATCAAAAGTTATATATTATGTGTTATGGTGTTTACATAGTCCATATCCAAAGTCTAATATATAACAAAATAGCAATCCAAAGTTCAAACGGTATTCGGTCTGGTTTTTACAGAACAATTCAGTTCGGTTCGAGTTTTTACCGGACCGTCGTATACAAGAATCTATTACCGTTCGGTTGTTCAGTAGATTACTAAATCTAACTAGTTTGGTATGGTTCGGTTCGAGAAAACTGAACCGAATTGCCCACCCTTAAAGTTAATTACCAAAATGATCCCCTGACTATAGCGAATTACCAATTTGGTCCCAAGTTAACAGTTGACTAACGGTCAAACAAACGAGGGACCAAATTGGTTAAGATTTTTAAAGTTGAGGGACTTAATTGGTCAAAAAAATAGTCAAAGACCAAATTGATAATTTCGCTATCACTACTGGAAATTATGGAATTTCCGACCACTTGAAAATGATCTTAAATCAAGTCGTCACTACTGGAAATTATGGAATTTCCGACCACTTGAAAATGATCTTAAATCAAGTTGATACCAAAAGTGATTGATAAGATCATTTTCAAGTGGTCGAAAATTTCATAATTTCCAGTAGTGATATAGTCAAGGGACCATTTCGATAATTAACTCTTAATTATTATCACTTGTATTACTATGTTACAGGTTGTGTATTCTTTTTTTTTTTTGTGATAGCCACACATTGTGGTCCGGGTCTTTCTCTGTCCGTTTAACGGTCCAGGTCCACCCGATTCACTTCGGGAGGCACAGAAGCTGGCCCAAAGGGAATCGTCACTTGTGGGAATCGAACCCGGGTTATCCCGAAATTCTCCCCCACAAAGAAAGTTCATTTGCCACTTGAGCTACCCTATTGGGTTACTGGTTGTATATTCTATTACTATAATACTCTTACTAATTACTATAACTTGTAATTATAAGTCATAGGTCAACAAACTTGAATACAATCTTTTTAAGTTTTGAGTGCATTGTCAATTACTATAACTCGTATTAATTTGTTACAGGTTCTATATTCTATTACTATAATACTCTTACTAATTACTATAATTTGTAATTATAAGTTATAGGTCAACAAACTTGAATACAATCTTTTTACATACCGCCCAAAGTTCTTAATAATAATGAGAATGTCACAATGTTTTTTCCTTTTTTTCCCTATTTTCTAGTTGTTGATCAATTTGATGGAAGAGATTCATCATCATTTTTTTTTTTTTTGAAAGACATGCTTCCGTGTGTGTATATAAAATCAATATCAAGTGAATACAAGTCTCTCTGTATAAAATGTGGGATTGAGGATCATACGAAAACTCATCCCCACATGAGAACTAAGGATTAATCTGGACTTTTGATCTTGGATTCGTATTTGGTTATCATTTTTTAAAATTTGTTGGATTGTTTATTTACAAATATTTATGGAGAGATGAATTATAATTGTTTGTGGATTTAGAATTATGATATCCTCAAAAAAGAATTATGATATTATTATTTGGGGATATTATGCATGATTTTAGGAGTTTTATTTGTTTTTAGGATTGTATTATTGGTAGGATTGTGTATTTCAAATTTCATACGTGTGCACTTCATATTCAACACTCTAGTATGGATTTGTGTGCATCTTAGGGCTAAGGGCATCTTCAATAGTGGGGGTTTTGGTGTGGTTTTTGATGAGTTTTTGTAGGTGTGATTAGGAAAGAGAAACTGGGAAAAGGTTAAAAAAAAAAAATAAATGTCAACAAAATTCAATGTGGGGAAAAAGCCCTCAAAATCCTCCATTTCCATTTGTCAAAAGTTTAGACAAGGAGATCTTACTATTCCAAAAGTCATGAATGAACCCCCTATTGGGATTGCTCTAACATATGCGGTATTTGTGCACTGCATTGTAGTGTTATGTGCACTCCAAGGTTGTGTGTCCATTTCTAATTCAGTGTACACATTTAATCTAACTATGTTGGTTATAGTGTGTCTTGAATCGGGCATCGTGTGCTATGTTGATTTGCTATAGTATGCACTTGCATTGCGTATTGTGCGGGGTTTTAAACGTGTGCACTCGTGTTGGTTTTGTTTTTGCTCAAATTCTGTACTTATTCATTAATGCACACAAATTTGTTATATAAGCACATGTATGTTAGACATGACCCACATTCGTCTCTTTTATATAGAAAAACAGACTTAATTGTGTGTTCACATGGAAAGAAATAAATTAAAGAAGAGAAAAAAAGATTATATACACGGATGTACTTATTTTGTTATGTAAAAAAAAAAAAAAAAAAAAAAAAAAAAAAAGAGCTTTTTGTTGTTGACTTATCGATTTTGATGGAAGTTTAGAAATTTGTTTGGACAAATTTAATTTGCTCCTTACTTGATATTATGGGGGATTTGGATTGCTAATTAGGCGCATGAATTTAGGGTGTTGACTTTTAATCATAGCCATTGATCTCTTGATTTTTACACCTTAGATTTGTTCTCATGTTCTCATGTGTAGAAGGGTTCTCATAGGAGAATTACCCTATGTATATCATTTCTTAACCTTTGGTTCGAATAGTTGTCCTTACTATTTGACACATTACTACTCGGTAAGGTTAGCTCTTCCACTCTTCGACCTTTACTATCTTCCGGTCTCAATTCTTCTACTCATATATTAGTCTTGAACTCTTCGTGGTATGAACTCTTCGTAGTTCCTAGATAGACTTTTCGTCAAAGGGCTTGGTTAGCAATTCAAATTGTAACAATTCAAATTACAATTTGTACAATTCGTGTGAGACCCCAAAAATACTTTCAAACAAAACTCCTATTTTACCAAAATCTCAAAATAAAACCATTTGTGTAATTTTTACTCCTACAATGATTTTGCCCAAATGAGTATATAAATAAAATATTTTTAAGAGTTAATGAACGATTTGGTCCCTCAATTATTAGTGAACTGTCAATGTAGTCCCTCAATTGCTTATTCATCGATTTAGTCCCCGAAAACAATTATTTTTAGTCGATTTAGTCCCTCAGGCCGTCTTCCGTCGACGGCCGGAAGGACTAAATCAATTACAAATAATTGTTTTCCGCGACCAAATTGACGGCCAGAGGGACTAAATCAACTAAAAATAATTATTTTCGAGGACCAAATCGATGAATAAGCAATTGAGAGACTTCATTGACAGTTCGCAAATAATTGAGGGACCAAATCATTGATTAACTCTGTTTTTAAACTCTTTATTTCAAATGATATGGTACAAACTATTTATATATTTAGAGTTAATACCTATTTTGGTCCCTCGACTATTAGGTAATACACAATTTAGTCCCAACCTATTAAAAGTACCCAATGTAGCCTCTAACTTGTAAAATCATACCCAATTTGGTCATTCATTACAATTGCCATCCATCCATCGTTATAGAGGGGCAGAAAAGTCATTTTATCTATAGTTGAGGGACCAAAATGGGTATTAACTATTATTATTATTATTATTATTATTATTATTATTATTATTATTATTATTATTATTATTATTATTATTATTATTATTATTATTATTATTATTATTATTATTATTATTATTATTATTATTATTATTATTATTATCATCGTTGTTATTATTATTATTATTATTATTATTATTATTATTATTATTATTATTATTATTGGGACAATGCGTCCTACCACCATATTACTTCATATTATTTTAAAAACTAAAATTTACCACAAAAAATCATGCGCGGTCTTTCCTCCATTTTTTTTTCTTTCCTGGGCCCACAAAAAACCACTACCTTTTTGGACATCCTCAATAGTGATAGGCTTTTGAGGAGTTTTTGCAGGTGTGATTAGGAAAAAGAAAATAAGAGGGGAGGGAAAAAGAAAAAAGAAAGAAAAAAAATAAAAGAGTTCTACTCCATGACATAGGCAAACAAAGATTGATTATTTTCATCATGTGGGCCCCAAAAAATGTGTCTACACCAATAATTTGTGAGATGAAGTAAAAGTTGGGAGTAAGAAATGGGAGTGCATGTACTATTTTTCAAAATAAAATCAGAAACTAAAAAAAAAAAAAAAAAAAAAAAAAAAAAAAAAAAAAAAAAAAGAGTTAAAGCTTAAAGCGCCCAGCGGGCGCGTGCCGCTGTTTCTGCGCAACCCGCACAAGTTGCGTTAAAATAATAATAATAATAATAATAATAATAATAATAATAATGATAATAATAATAAAAAACTGAAAGGACCCATGTTTTTGACAAAAACCCCCATTTTACTGCAAAGAACTCAATTTTTCTCTCACTTCATCCTCTCTCATCCACCTCACTCAACATTCCTCAAAACCTGATCCAAAATCCCTTAATGGGATGCCCTTAGGAGTTCAAAATGCATTCTCTCTGCTTATTCTCTATCATCCAACTCATATTGGACCCCACAAAAAATCAACAAAAATTCATAGATGGGGTTGCTCTTAGTTTAGTTATGTATATCAAGACTAGGGGTGTGCAATTAGTTAACTGAACCATTTTAACCGAAGTTATTAACACTTTAACTGTTAACGGAACCGAACTTTGTATTACTAAATTAATCGAACTGAAATTTTTTTCGATTAATCGGGCAATTAACCGATTAAAATAATAATAAATCTATTTAAAATAATACATATAATAATAATTCCATAAGAAAATATACAAAAATAATACAACATTACAAATTTATAGAGATTATACATATTAGATTATATATTTGTTAATTTATATATATATTTAAAATTTTGATTAACCGATAATTTCGAACCGAATTAACCGTTAATCGAAATTTAAAAAAAAAAAAAAAAAAAAAAAACTTTAACCATTAACCGAATCGAAAAAGATCAGTTAACCATACATAGCTGACCCTCTATTGGTAAAACTTCTTTAAGTGGATGACATTCTAGATCCGGTCGACGGGCTTTCCCTCCAGGGTCTCCAACTTATAGGTGCCAGCTTGGACTACGGCGGCGATGCGGTAAGGTCCTTCCCACTTAATCGCGAATTTACCCCCTTCTGTAGGCTGGCTTGCCTGTCAATCCCGTAGCACGAGATCACCGATCTAAAAGGTTCGTGAGCGAATCCTCTGATCGCGATATCTTTTCACGGCTTGCTGATATTCCACCATTCGGGCGTACGCAGCCTCCCTTTTCTCCTCTAAGAAGTTCTTTTCGATTCTAAGGCTGTCCTCGTTTTCCTCGTCGGAATAATCACGGACTCGGTGGGTGGGTTCGACGACTTCTATCGAAACCTTGGCTTCGAAGCTGTACGCTAGGGAAAACGGGCTTTCTCTAGTCGCCCGTCTTTGTGTGGTTCGATAGGCCCATAGGACCCGGTCAAGCTCATCCGCCCAATTTCCTCCAATGTCTTCTAACTTCTTCCGGATTCCGTCCACTATAGTTCGATTTGCATTTTCGACTTGCCCATTGGCCTGAGGGTAGGCGACGGATACCTTGGTTTGTCGTATACAGTGTCGTCGACAGAAGTCGGCGAAGGGTCAGCAGTCGAACTGCCGGCCGTTGTCGCTAACTATATGCTCTGGCAGACCGAAGCGGCAAATCACTTTCTTCCACAGAAAGCGTCGGCCTCGACCCACTTGGTGAAGTAATCAATGGCCACGACGCAGAATTTCAAGCGTCCGGGGGCGACGGGCAATGGACCCAACAAGTCAACTCCCCACTTGGCAAACGGGATGGCCGTGGTAACTGGTTTATAGAAGGTGGCCGGCCGAGTATCCTTCCGGGCGAACGCTTGGCAAACTCCGCACTTGGCTATCCACTCAATGCAATTTCTCATCATGGTCGGTCAGTAGTACCCTTGGACGACTAACTTTCGGGCGAGAGTGTGGGCGCCTTGTTGGGCGGCACAGATTCCCCGATGGGCCTCGTCCATTATCTTCTCCGCTTCGGGCCTAAGTAAACATTTCAGGAGGGGGCCTCCAAATGATCGCTTGTACATCTGCCCGTCTATGACTTTGAACGATGGGGCCTTGCGACGGACTCTTGCGGCGACCCCTAGGTCCTCCGGTAATTCCACCTTTTCTTTGTACCGCCGGATGTCCTCGATCCAGAACATCTCAGGGTTCTTCTCTCGATCCCATTTTTCGACTGCTACCTGTTGAATTTCCATCGTCGTTTCCTCTATGCTGGGTCGACTCAGCTCCTACTTTTGGCAAATTCTGGTGAGGTGATTCGGTACCACTTCCAGGGCGATCTTTGATAATATGTCGGCTTCGGTGTTGTCCGCCCGTGAAATGTATTCCATTTCATATGTTTCAAATTCTTTCAGCATCTCTATCGCCTTCTCTTTATACCGGGCCATCCGTGCGTTCTTGGCTTCGCAGGTGCCTGATACTTGCCCGACTACAAGCCGGGAGTCGGTTTTGACTCGTAGACGTCCCACTCCCAGTGTTTTGGCGAGTCGTAGACCGCCTAGCACAGCTTCATACTCGGCTTCGTTATTGGATGTTGGGAACAGGTAGCTTAGAGCGTAGTATAGCCGGAATCCTTCCGGGGTGATTAGCATGATTCCGCCGCCACAGTGTTGTCGGCTTGCTGCCCCGTCCGCATGCATCTCCCACCATTCGCCTGGATTATCCTCCATGGCGTCCTCCTTATCGCCTTCCCCGACAGTGCACTCGACTAAGAAGTCGGCTAAGTCCTGCCCCTTAATGGAGGGGCGTGGTTGATATTCGATCTCGTACTGGGTCAGTTCTACGGTCCATTTTACGAGTCGACCAGACGACGCGGGATTCCGCAATACACTCCCCAGAGGTTGGTCGGTCAGGACCCGAACAGTATGCGCTTGGAAATAAGGTGCCAATTTGCGCACAGTGATCACCAACGCGTAGACGATCTTTTCCAAGGGCGTGTACCGCGCCTCGGCGGCCTTCAAGGAATGGCTCACATAGTACACCGGATGTTGGGCACGTTCCTCCTCCCGGACGAGTACTGAACTTACTGCTCTAGGGGAGGCGGCCAAGTACAGAAACAAAGGCTCTCTTACCTGAGGGGTGGACAACACCGGCGGCGTAGGAAGGTATCGTTTTAGTTCCTCGAACGACTGTTGACACTCGGCTGTCCATGCAAAACCTTCTTTCTTCTTCATGGCCTCGAAAAAGGGTATGGTCTTGTCCGCCGCTTTACTTAGGAAGCGACTGAGGGCAGCCAGTCGACCAGTCAGCCGTTGCAAGTTTTTAACGGTACTGGGAGGCTGCATGTCTATGATAGCCTGAACTTTCTCGGGGTTGGGCTCGATGCCCCTCTTGGTTACCATGTACCCCAAGAACTTCCCTCCTTGTACTGCGAAGGCGCACTTTTTTGGGTTCAGTCGGAGATTGTACCTCAGCATCACCTGGAAACAGTCGGCCAGATCCCCCGCGTGTTTGATTTCTTCCCAGCTCTTGACCAGCATGTCGTCTACGTAGGCTGCCATGGATTTTCCCAGCAGGTCTTGGAACAGTCGGGCGACCATCCGAGTATAAGTGGCCCCCGCATTCTTGAGCCCGAAGGGCATGACTCGGTAGCAATACACTCCATCCGGCGTTAGGAATGCGGTCTTTTCCTCATCAGCCTGGTGCATGAAGATTTGATGATACCCTCTGAAGGCATCCATAAAGCTTAGCAAAGCCGACCCGGCAGTCTCATCGACCAACTGATCAATCCGACGTAATGGAAATGGATCCTTCGGACAGGCCTTGTTAAGGTCGGTATAATCCATGCACATCCGCCAGGCTGGAGGCTTCGGTACGAGCACCACGTTCGCCAACCACTCGGGGTATTTGACTTCTCAGATGTGGCCGGCAGCCAGCAGCGTGTTTACCTCTTTTTTCACAAAATCCCTCCTGTCGTTGGCCAAGTAACGCTTCTTCTGTATGACCGGCCGATGGTCAGGGTCCACGGCGAGTCGATGAGCGATGATGGACCGGTCGACTCCCGGCATATCTTCTGGACCCCAAGCGAAGACCAGTCGATGCTCTCGAAGTACCTTTACCACCTCCTCCCGTATTTCTTCTGGGAGACCGACCCCAATCCGGACTCGCCTATCCGGTCGTTCAGGGTCGATCTCGACTTCTTCTAATTCCACGGCCGGCTCCGCCCGGGGTATCATTGATTTCTTTGGAGGTTTCTCAGTGATTTCATGGACTTGCATCTCGCATTTACCCATACCTCTGCAAGCCTGTAGATAACAGTCGCGGGCGACTCTCCTGTCGCAGCGAACCGTACCTATCCCACTCGGCGTGTGGAATTTCAGACAGAGGTGCTCGATCGAGATCAACGCTCCCAGGTATTCCAGTCCTGGTCGTCCGAGTATGGCGTTATGCGAGCAAGCAAGATCGACCACAATGAATTTCATGTCCAACTTCTGCACATCGGGATAACTGTCGATTTCTACCGGTAGAGTGATAGATCCTTCCGCTTCCACCGAATCGCCCGTGAAGCCGGCGAGTGGTGTTTTAACCGGATTCAATTGCTCTCGGCTTAGTCCCATCTTGGTGAAGGTCTCAAGGTATAGCACGTTGACACTATTCCTGGTATCTACCAGGATTCGTCGAACGACCACCCCATTCACATCCATTGCGATGACTAGGGCGTCACGATGCGGTGTCTCACCCGTGGGCAGATCTTTGTCGGTGAACGTGATGGGCTCCCGGTACGCTTTCTTTGAGCTTTCTTCTCGCCTGTACACGGTCCCCACATACAACTGTCGGGCCCAGGCTTTTCTAGTGTTCGCCGAGTCGCCTCCCTCTGGTCCGCCGACTATCATGTTGATAACCGGCGTCTGACGCCACTGGGCCTCGTCTTCCTCGGTTGCCGGCTGCTTGCTGCGACTGCCTTCGGCTGCTACTGCGGGGTCGCTATCTTCTCGGGCCACCGACCTTCTCCTCCACTGATTAGGGGGTGGGGTTCCTTGCTAGATGATCTCCTTCATGATTTTCTTCAAGTAATAGCACTCTTCCGTGCTGTGAGTGTAAGATTTGTGATAACAATAGTACTTAGATATCTTACCTGGTTCTTCGTTCGCCGCGCGCTCCTCAATTGGGGGAGGTGAAGGAGGCGCGACTGCTTGTACCTCGTGCACCGGATGTTGGGGAGTCTTCCTATAGGGATGGACGACGAGCCAGTCGTATGGGCGCCTGGCTTCAGGTCGCCTAGGTGCTTCCGGGCGTCTTTCCTTAGTCTCTGCGCGGGTTCTCTTTCCGCTGGCAAAACCTCCGACCTCGCGCTGTCGCTTGTGCTTCATGGCCTGCTCCGTGTTAGCTCTTTTATTGGCCATATGTATGGCTTCTGCGTAGGTGGCGGGTCGATTGTCACATAGGTCGCGATATAATTGCCCGGACCGTAAAGATTCGATGAAGAAGGTGAGGGCGGTCTGGTCCTCGACCTCCTCGACAGACTGGATTTCCTTCTGCCACCGGGCTAAGTAAGTTTTAAGAGATTCGCCCTCCTCTTGGTAAACGTCCCCTAGATGGGTCAAATCCTTTTGTGGCTTGATGTTGGCCGCGTAGTGACTCATGAAGCAATCGGCCAGCTCTTCAAAGTTGCGTATCGATCCGGGGGGCAAGGCTACCAACCATCTTTGTGCTGGTCCTTTTAGTGTCGGCAAAAAGGCGCGACACATTACCGGGTCTCGAACTCCTAAGACTTGCATCTTGGCCTGGTAGCTTAATAAATGCTCTCGTGGGTCGCCGAATCCGTCAAAGGTGGCCTGTTCCGGGAACTTGAAGTCGCCGGGTACTTTGTAAGACATGATCTCGGAGGAGAAGGGCAAAGCAATGAGCAACGTTCGCCCGGGGGATTTGGTCCTTCCCTCCATTTGTTCCTTCAGATTTTGCACCTCTCGGGCCAGTTGAGCCACATTCTCCTCATTTTGCTTGTGATTCCCCGTGGACTTCGTGCTTTCACCGGCCTCTGACTCAGCTGGTTGGTCATTGTTACGTCTAGGCCGCTCGGACCGTCGCGCCCGAGTCCTAGTTCTTCGAGCCCTTTCTCGGACAGCTTCTTGATTCGGCGGTCCCACCGGTACGCGAATGGGCTCTCTTTCTCCCAGTCGCTCTCTCGCGGATCGGCGCGCGATATATGGACCGAGCCTGGAATGGACTGATCGTACCGGCACACTCTCCGCTCGTCGATCTCCCGGCCTGCCTTCCTTGGTTCTTTGGGGCGGCTGCTGATTGCGAGGCGGCGGTCGCGAGGCCGACCGTTCTCCCATTCCACGATTTTCCACGGAGATAGCCCGCTCGAGAGCTCAGATTTGTTCGAGAGTGAATGGCATCAGGGCTGGCGGCCGGTTCAAGGGTGCCGACTCATTCTCTTAGCTTTAGGCGTTTCGTTGATTTAGTTTCTCTCTCAGGTCGACTCCGGGAGCATTATTGCGGTTATTCGCCTGGCTCCTTCCCTCCGACATGCTGCGAAGCTTTTATCTCTCTGCAATGTCCTTGCTTGTTTCGTACACTCGCCCGCTCAGAAAAATACGCGGCTCTTTGTTTCGATTCCCACAGACGGCGCCAGTGTTGGTTTTTGGGTTTTTAGGCCCAGGGAGGTCCAACAAAACCTTAGTTGGTGGATACACCTTTCAACAAAGATGCTAAAAAATAGAATAGGAAAGAAGTAGTTGTAGTGAACGTGTCTCTTTACTCTTTTGGCATGGACTCACCTCGATTACAAGGGCGGAGGGTCCTTTATATAGCAGGCTCCTCTCCAGCCGAATTGAAGTATATTAAAGACGGCCTTCATGGCTATTTACACTATGAGGCCGTTGGGCGCCGTTACGGGGCCGGCCAACGGCTCTTTGGTCCGCTCCGTCGAGTCCTCTTGAATCCTGTGCTTAAATGTTCCCCAACGGCTCCTGAGCTGAACCTTCTCCCTCATTTGGGGCCTGGGCCGACTCATGGACTCAGCCCAGGCCGCCACCGGGCTTTTATCACTGACCCATGTCTTCCTTTCTGGACTTCCTCTCTTGGGCCCATCTTCTTGGGCCGGGGTCCTCACCCCATCAGCCCCCTCAATTATTCTAAAAGTGGCAGTTTTCCCCCCTGATAAATTAAATTGACATTTTTACCCTTAAAGTAAACATTTTATTTATGTTTCTTCTCCAACAAATTATTGCGTATACGTAGGGATGACCACGGTTTGGTTCGAACTGAATCGAACACTATAGCAATCGAATTAAAAGTTTTCAGTTATGATTCAGATCCAGAACCCAATATTTGGATTTCAGTGTATTAAAATTATGAATCGAAAAAACTGGATCTTGAACCGTGAACCGCAGTTTCGGATTATGTTCGCGATTTTGAACCGTCTTTATTTTAAAATTTTATTTTTTTATTTTAAAATAGTCTAAATTCAAAAATAAATGTATTTTATTTTTTCAGTTCGGAACATGAACCGGCCGTTCTGGTTCGTGATTTTAATAAACTCTAAATATCGGGTTCCGATTCTAAATTGTAAATGAAATATTTCGGGTTAGTTGTTGTAGTGTCTGTTTGGTTTGAACCAACTTGTGGTCATAATTTGTTGGAGAAGAAAAATAAATGAAATATTTATTTTAAATATTTATTTTAAGGGTAAATATGTCCATTTAACATTTTTGGGGTAAAAACATCCACTTAAATAATTCACGGGGAAAAAGTGTTATAAGTATATAACTCGGGGGGTGGGGGGGGGAGGGAGTGCTATTTTCCTAACTATAAATTTTATGTGCATAACTGCACATTTCATTGACAATGAGTGGAAGCTATGAAAGAAAATAATTTCATTTGTTCTAGTGTCTTCACATAACGGGAAAATACATTGTAAAGTTAGTAGATGCCTGCTTGATTTGGGGCTGAAATATGTGTTTACTGTGACAATAGATAATATTTCAAACAATAATACTGCCCTAGGATTGAAGAAGAAAATGTTGTCTTGGGGTTCTACTGTTGTTAGGTGTAAGTATTTGCATATGAGATGCATTGCTCACATCCTTTACTTGGTGGTACAAGATGGGTTGAGGAAATCTTACATTTTTTTTTTTGAATGCTACTAGCTCTATTACATTGTAGTATCTGTTCATATACTTTCTCAACCTACTGAAACACAAAGAGCTAATAACACCTCCATTGAGGCTCGAACTCACAACCTTCCAAATGGAAGTCCAACCCGGGTACCATTGGACCACATAGTCCTGGTAGGAAATCTTACATTGTTGTGAAGAAAGTAAGAGATTATGTTAGGTATGTGAGGAACTCTCTTGCTAGGCTACAAAAGTTTACGGACCTAGCTGATTTAACAGGGGTGAAAGCTAAAAATTCTTTGAGTCTTGATGTTCCTACAAGGTAGAACTCCACATACATGATGTTTCATACTGCATTGCTCTATCAAAAAGTGTTTGTAGTGTATGAAGATCATGACACATCTTTTACTACTGATTTGGGTGGAAATGTACTTGATTTCATGTATTGGGATTGTGTTGCATATTTGGTTAAAATTCTGAAATCTATCTGTGAAATGATGTTAGGATATCTGGTTCCTTGTATGTGACTTCAAATACCATTTTCTCTAAGGTTTCTGATCTACCATGCATATTAAATGATATGGTGGGAGTTGAATTTGGTAGTGTTTAGATTATGGGAAGGAATATGATGGCAAAGTTTGATAAATATTGGGGTGATCCAGATAAGATGAATTTTCTAATCTTCTATGCAAATATCTTGGACCCCATAGGACAAAATAGAATACATGTCATACAAGTTATTCAATTATATGGTGATGTAGAGTTAAATCATTGTTTGAGAAAGTTATGGTTGACTTTCAGGAGTTGTATGCTGATTATGTGGCCAGGTTTCCTGTCCAAATCCAGTTGAACAACATGTTCCCTCTATTTCACTCTCTAATTCAATTTCAGTTGGGAGACCTCAATCTTTATTAAAATCTTAGTTAAAGAAGCAAAGATTGGAGAGTGGAGAATTGCGAATTTGGCAGGAAAAACACTGAGCTGGAAAATTATTTGTTTGAGGCTATTGTAGAGGATGAGAGTGGCTTTGACATTTTGAGATGATGGAAGCTTAATGCTGATAGGTTCCCCGTATTGTCTAAAATGGCAAGGGGTATACTTGTTGTTTCAATCTCTATAGTTGCATCATAATCAGCATTCAGTACCAGTGGGAGGTACTAGATGCCTTTAGGAATGCTTTAACTCCAAAAATTGTTGAGGCACTTGTGTATGCACAAGATTGGATAAAGTTGGTCAATCAATCAATCTCAATTGAAGAAAACATAAATGAAGTTGAAAGATTTGAACTAAGAGCTCTAATTTCCTATGTCAACTTTTGGACCAAACCTTGACAATAACTATTTGATAAAAAAAATGATCCCCAAATCTTTTGTCAAATCCTGGAAGGGTCGTTAGGACGAGTGCAAACACCGTCCGATGAGATAATACTTTAAAGTTAGTCAGATTATGCTAGTGTGCCTGAAGCAATTAAATTGTGAAGGGGAATTCCTAATATTTTTTTATTCAAATCTAACTAACGGCATATCACAAATCAATCCCTCAAGGATTGTTATGATTGTTATACCTAGTACATGTTTTCAAAAAAAACACTTCCCTATCTGCGTTATTATTTATAGTGCGCAGTCTATTTCAATATATCACCACTACAGCGTACCTCTAAAAAAAAAAGGCTACCAAAGAAGCCTCCGTCTCTTGATTAATTAATACCAAGAGCACATGATAGGAGACCAATATATATCCTTAGGTACGCTGACTACATACTTAATTAATGAAGATTCTTTCTTGGCATTAGGGGGAGATAAGAGTTCAAATTTAATAGAATGTCAAGAAATTTCATAAAATGAAAATATCTTCATTATTTAAATCCATGTACTAGTTAGACTGAACTGAAAGTTCAGAAGATGATATATTTGCGATATTAGCAAATAATCTGCCAAATACATCTATTGATCATACTGATCATTAGGGGTGTGCAAACTTCGGATAATTTTCGGTTAACCGACCGAACCGACAAAGTTCGGTTAACCGTTTTCGAACCGAACTTTTTCGGTTCGGTTAATGGTTAAAGGAATTTTAAAACTTCGGTTAACGGTTAATTCGGTTCGAAAGGTCGGTTAACCGAATTAACCGAACGGTTAACCGAAATTTTTAATATATATAAAAATAATAATATAAATATAAATACTAATTTGAAATTATAGATGTTTGGAGTTTCTAATTAATGTTTTTGTATATTTTGTTATGAATTTATTATGATATGTATTTTATTTTAATTAGATTTATTATTTTAGGTGTTATTTTTAGAATTTTAAATTTTAGCTTTAAAAAGTTCGGTTAATCGCTTAACCGATCGATTAACCGAAAAAAATTTTGGTTCGGTGAATTCGGTAGAGCAAACTTCGGTTCGGTTAACGGTTAAAGGGAAAAAAACTTTGGTTCGGTTAACCGATTGAACACCCCTACTGATCATAAAAGAGTGACTAGGTCCTATATACCATCCCCAATTTGGACCAAAATATATCTACCGATACTCCTTGATGCCAGAAGTGTAGGAGATCTATCAGTGTAAGATATAAGAATCATTATACTAGATCTAGTAAATAAACATTGTCACTCTTGATATACCTTGAATAATTATGTCTTGGAGACGTTCGTCCAGATGACGAAAAACCATAGTCAATCTATAGGTGCACCAAACAAACATAATACTAGGGATGCGGGACAACCAGATGTGATCTGAATAAGTTCTGGGAAATGTCTAGAATATGGTTGACTTAAATATTGCCATAAACAATTATAAATATGGGAGAGATTTATGAAAGTATTATAGTTGTCAACAACACAATAGCCTGTACAAATTGCTCCATTATATGATAATATGGATCCAGAGTTATGCACCGGAAGTGCCATGACTATTTAACGTATAAAGGAGTAATTAAGGCATAGCTCGACTCGCTAATTATTAATAATTCTCTTTATAACAATACACCGTTGAGAGTTAACCCCGAAGGTTACAAGTGAGTGTGTGCACGAAAGAGAAATAAGAATAATGAGGTGATATGATATAAAGCGAGTTTGTAGTCTTATGGGTTCACGCAGATACCCTTGATTGATTTTAATCAAACATATTTTCCCACGATAAATGGCATTAAGTTCCGCTACATCATTGGCAGAATAATAAATTAGATATGCAACTAATATTAAATTCAAAAGTCCCC